TGCTGTTTTATGTTATGTCTTTCATTTTTTTTTCTGTAAAATATATATATATATATGTCTACATATTTGTCTTTTTTTGCCTTTTGGTGTAGTGCAAGTTAAACTTTACCGCTTTGTGGCGCGCCAGCAAATGAAGTTAATAATACAACAGTTGCTGGGGTTACTTTAGGGTTGTCGCTGCCGAAACCGTTGACCAAATATTTAGCAGTGCCGCAAAGTTTCTGTTTAATTTGGAGACCGCGGCGGATCGCAGCTTTAACTACTTTTTACTAAGCCATTGTGAATTTGAAATGAATATTATAAACTTTGATTTATTGTCGCACCGACGCCGCCAAGTCCCAGAGAACCACATGCCAAACGAGAAAAACATAACAAAATAAATACAAATACGATGAGGACACACACACATACACACACAAAACAAAAGTGTTGTTCGAATATTAACATAATGTATATCTTTAAAAAATTGCATATTTTATTGTATATATACATTTTTTTTTCTTTTTTTGCAAAAGTCGATAGGAAAAGTTTGGCAAAAGTACGCTTAGATAAGGCGAAACAAACTAGTGACATAACTTCTCTTGGGAATATCCAACCTTTGAATGCTCTATGTTAGCAACAATTTCTGTTCTTCTTCTCATTGCAGATCGAATTAAATGGAATTACAATGTAAAAGTCATAATTTAGAAATGAACAAGTCTTTCATTGGTTTTAGCTTCCGTTCAAATATAATTCGTTACATAAGTCATTAAACCTTGATGTACAAAACATACTTGACTGGTTATCTTCGTGGAGACTTCATATCTGAAATGGTAAGGAGCCTGGAAACTGGGCCAACGGAACAGATGTGTAGGTCTCATTTTTATGGCTCATTAGCGCAAACGTGGCAAATTCATAGGTGAGCTTAATTTTTGTCAAAGTTCTTTGATCTGCGGGAATCGTTGTTCCTGTTCTGCGGTTGCCATGGCCTTTGCTAATGATGATGATTATGATGATGACAATGAGGATAGGGCCCACACAACTAAGAAACAAGGCAAACGAAAAAAAAAAAAGAAACAAAGACAAAAAAAGCCAACTGCTGGCAAAACAGCTGTCTACATGTCACGCATACCAAATGAAGCAAGAAAAAGAAGCCCAGATACCAAGCTCAGTTGTCAGTTCACTTGCCAGCCCTACCAGCATGTTAGTAAAAAGTAGCTACAAATTGGTTAATAATTTGCAGAAGATACCAATGGCCAACGAAATATTGTAGCCTCTTAGCTTATGCTCGTTAGCTTTTACTCAATAAAATAAACCGATTGAAATTGTTGGCAAAAATAGTTCAATGGTAAAACTAACACATTTCGATATCCACACGAATAATATTAAAATTTGCATTGATTTGACTGAGATTCAACCGCAAAGAGGAAAATAGAAAAATTGATGCAATGCTTGCCATGAATACAATTTATAAAACTACATTTGAAATTCCAATTGTTTTTGATCAAGTGTTGAGTAAATAGAATGGCAAACCGAATGAATTGTAAACTAAAAGGCCAAATAATAGCATTTGTGTTAAAAGAATATATATAATGAACTGTAAACTTAACATATACTATCTAAATACCACATATGATTGAAAAATACAGTCTCTGAACAAATACATTACACATTCGCCATGTGAAAGGACCGTCAAAGGCAGCCTGCTGAGGAAGGCTTAACTATTTTAATATGATAGTTTTATAGTTGATAAAGGTGCATAAAAACGTTGACATTTAGTTGGCTAAACTTAATTAACAATCGGTGGCGTTGTGGGACAAAGAATGACCGGTGCCAGCTGCAAGCCAGATCAGAGCTGTTGTGCAGATTGATGAAACATTTCATATTTTTGACAGCGCTGAGTTGGGTAGCTGTCCCATTGGCCTATTGCTGCGATTTAATTAGACGCTTAGCTTGTTTACATTTAATTTGGTTTTATTTGGTAGCTACTTTAAGCCATTTACACGCGTGCATAAATCTTCTGGACGGTCACTAATTATCTGCCAGCCAGCATCAGTTGAGCCCCACATTAAAGTCAGTGCTGGCCTAATCCCCCCAGTGCTTATAAAACACACACAGAAACACACACTAACAAAGAGAAGCAGTGGCTGGCCCCAAAGCATATGTCCCCAGCGCTGAGGTGATAAATTACCATCGGCAAAGGTGTCATATTAAAACACACACAAAACCCCAAACATGCGGCACCAGCCTTTTAAATAAACCTTAAGCCCAGTGCGCTCGCCTCCCTCTATCCGGGATCCACCCGTTTTCATGTCCCCCGGCTTGGCGCATAACTAACGAGTTAAAAGGCAAAACAGGGGTACATCAACTGGGGGCAGCGACAACCGCAAATCCTAAACCAAATCAAAAGGGTCTGCCCTGCTTATCACGGCCATAAAGTCAGTCAGACCCAACCAGCACCAGAACTGGCCTTCATTTAAACTATTTAATATTGGCACCTGCTCGGCGCTGGCCCCGGACAAAACTCAACTCGCATGTGGCCTGAGTCAATGCCACTTAAATAATTTAAAAACACCCTAGATATGGCAACGTGACACGGCATACTTTACACACAAGACCAAAAGCCAAACAAACTGTTTGCCAAGGTGTGCCAACTTAAAACCTTATAAATATTTAATTTTCAACCGACATTCTTGTAAATATGAAACAATTTTTTTAGCAATTTACATTTTTAAAGAAATAATATGTAATAAAAATAATGTTCACAAGTCAAATATAAGTGTATATCTTAAATAGCTTACCTTTTTTTAAATCCATTTTATTTAACTATTTGAACACATGTTTTTTAAGTCTGTAAAACACATTCGTGAATAAGTCGTTTTTAAAGGATTCTCATCGCTGTCCTTGGCCACTCGCCAGTTGTTGGCTAAGTTGGCACACATTTATATGTGTTACCTTTTCTTGCAATCGTAAATTTCAATTCCAGCCACTTAACATGGTACAAAAAGATTATGCGACAGCCCCTTTGCGAAATGAAAGCAAATGGCAGATGCAGCCAAACGAAATGTTGAACAAGATGTGAGACCAGAGATTCATGGCACTTGGTTAAATTGTACGAATTGGCTTGAGGCCTCTGGCTTTTAAGCTAATTAAATTCTTGACGCAGAAGCAAATCAAAACAAAAACCATCAACAACAAAGGAAGAAAAACGCAAAACACATATTATGAAAATAAGCAAATACTACTAAAAGGGTAAAGGAGCATTTTTAATATCTGGCTCCCATGTGTGAGTCAATTCAAAGAAAAGAATAATAAATAAAATTACAAGAAGAGGTCTCGACATATCTATGTGTGAGTATCCGTGAGTATGTGTGCGTGTGTATGTGTGTGTGTGTGCCCTTTATGCCCTTTAACCCTTTTAAATCAGAGTCGACCGCAACGCTCGTTGCTTGTGTAAACACATTAATCATCCAAATGCCACCGACAGAGATCGAAAGTGCCACCATAGCAGCTCCTCCTGTTCCTTGGTAGTTTGGTAATCATAAACAGCGCACCGTATAGGAAATTAAATGCAACAACAAGCTCATGCAAATAAAACCGAGCAAGGATAGCAAAAAAAAAACGAACGAAGCGAAACGAAACGAAACGAAACGAAACAGAAGCGTATCGAAACAAGCGGAAATAAAGGAACAACGGTCAGGACAAGGCCCTGGCACGTCTGATTATCTGTGGGTTGACGTCACAGCAGTCATACAATATGCAAATAATTTTGTTACTCAATGTAGCTATGCAAATTTGTACTCTGTCACAACAACCCCCACTCGACTCCCCACCTCGCAGCAGAAGCCACAACATTTTGTACGTTTTGCGGTTTGGCTCGTTTCGAATTTGCTGGCTGCTTAACAACAGTTATTATTACATTTAAACTAATTGAGTTGATTAGAGGAAATTGTGCAAATTCCGATTCAATAAAGAAACAACAAAAGCGACAAAAAAAATAATATCCTGCACTGAAGTATCGCACACATTGCACAAGCCATAATTAAATTTAGCATCGGCGATTAAAAAGGAACATTTCTTATCGAAAAGATAAGTTTATTTAAAAACTAATTTTATTTATTGACCTATCCCAACAGTTTTATGTATATTCCCAAAGCTGTGAATAGGCTTTTTTTCTAATCAACTAAATAATGTAAACATTCTTTGGACTCTTGGTCCAATATAGTTGTATTCTGTTATCGATAGCTTATCACCGAATCGAATTTTTGGCATTATAATGCTGACGAATATGGAATGAATATATATCGTCATGCTTAGTCAGTAGAATTGAAAAACATACAAAAATATATAAAGAAAATTAAAGACTACTACTACTACCACTATTTTAAAAATAATTTACTATACTACCAACATAAAATACTGCAAAATAAATTAATAAATTGATAACATTAAGTGTGCGCACAGATCAAAGATCAGTAAAACAAACAGACGACTCGAATTATCAAAATATGCTCAATCAAAAATGTATTGTGACACATTCAAATGGTGTAGTCTAATTCTCTTAGATTAAAGAGCTCAACGGATGGAACACAGACTCGACTCGATGATCAAAAATGTTTGTACTATTTGTGGGCGAGAAATGTGTATAATCTGCGTAAGGAAAGCAGTACTCACAAATATCTTATATAATGCTGATATTTGTATGAATAACCGTATCCAAACCAAGTAAGTAGAGCCTCTCCTATTTATTTGACAGACACAAACTGCAGCTGAAAGTCTTAATTCGATTGTTTAGTAAATTAAGACAAAGAACACACTAGAAAGCTGATTAGATCTCACTTTCTTCATAGTACATAAGTCATAATTCCAATGTTTAATACATTAATACAAAACACTCACTAGAAAGCATAAAAAAGTGGCCAGCGGGGAAAGACTCATCGATAAGCCACCTTATCTAATCAGCTTTTCAGAGCACTTGTTTCATCCAAATACAAAAAAAGTCGAATATTTGGAGCGGGCATGCAGTCCACAGTTAGCTGTCAAAGCATGCAGTTGTTTTAATTCATACATATTTTTATAATATAGTGTTGTTATATTGTTTTTCTATTTTTATACAAAAAAGTGGGCCATTATGATAGTGGAAATTACGGTGCTGCTGGTAGCGGCACTGTTCATCTGGCACCATCTAAAGACACGGCGAGCAAAAGCAATGTTTCATGCCGCTGGAATAAAGGGACCCATCGCTCTTCCACTTTTGGGCAATGCGCCACTTATTATGATTGGCGAAAGCGCTGAAAGTATGCAGTATGTGCTGTAAATAGATAATAAACCTAATAAAGGGATATTTTCAATAATATTTTGCAGCTATGCTGGACTTGCTATGGCGTTTGATTAATAAATATGGCAAGTTTATATCATTTAGCCTATTTAACGAGATTGCTTTTATCACCGCCGATCCAAGAATGATTGAGGCCGTATTAAGCAGTCAAAAGCCGATTACCAAAAATAAACTCTATAATCTATTGACTGACTGGCTGGGCACTGGCCTACTACTGAGCACCGGCAAGAAGTGGTTTAAACGCCGTAAGATTATCACGCCGACTTTTCACTTTAAGATACTCGAACAGTTTGTTGAGGTCTTCGATCAGCAGAGCGCCGTTATGGTGGAGAAATTATATGATCGTGCCGATGGCAAGACTATCATCAATATGTTCCCAGTCGCATGCCTAGCGGCCTTGGACATTATTGCAGAGACTTCCATGGGTGTAAAACTTAATGCACAGCATAAACCCGACTTTCCCTATGTGCAGTCCGTGAAAATGTGAGTAACACTATAATAATAATATCTTGGAACACTTTCCTAACCATTTGAGCTTGTAGTGTATCCAATATAATGGCTGAGCGCTTTATGAGACCGCTGCAGCGTTTCAATTTCACCATGCGCATCTTCTATCCACTGATCTATCGCGAACTGAATCAGCACATCAAGTCTATGCAAGATTTTACGGACAGTGTCATCTCGGAGCGACGCTATACCTTGCAAAAATCATTAAAAGAGTCTAATCAAAACTCCAAAAGTGCTGAGGATGATGACGTTGGCAGCAAACGTCGCATGGCGTTGTTGGATGTCCTGCTGCAGTCGACTGTGGATGGTCAGCCTCTAAGCAATGAGGATATTCGTGAGGAGGTGGATACTTTCATGTTTGAGGGTCACGACACCACAACCAGTGCCATCTCCTACACTTCATATCTGCTCGCCAGACATCCTGAGGTGCAGGAGCGCGCCTTCCGCGAGGTGGTTGAAGTGATTGGCAACGACAAATCAAAGCCAATCACCATGCGGGATCTGGGCGAACTGAAGTATTTGGAGTGTGTAATCAAGGAATCGCTACGCTTGTATCCACCAGTTCCCATGATCGGAAGAAACTTAACAGAAGACATTACGCTGGGTAGGTTGAAATATAATCTGTGATTCCATTGTAAATATTAATTTCATTTTTTTCTATAGATGGCAAACGGTTCCCCGCCGATAGTAACCTTATACTGCTCATATATCATGCCCAACGCGATCCAGAGTATTTCCCTGAACCGGAGAAATTCAATCCAGATCGTTTTAGTCCGGAAAATATCAATAACATTGATGTTTTTGCCTTTGCACCGTTTTCTGCGGGTCCTCGCAACTGTATTGGCCAAAAGTTTGCAATGCTTGAGATGAAAAGTACCATCAGCAAAATGTTGAGGCATTTTGAGTTGCTGCCACTCGGTGAACCAGTGAAGCCAGTTATGAACTTGATCCTACGCTCCACAACGGGTGTTAATATCGGATTGAAGCCACGTGTTTACTGAGTCAATTGTCAATGTTGCTTTACTTAATTAAAAATATTATAAAGAAGAGCCAATAAGTTACTGCATTTTAAAGAAATCCCCAGCTTATTTCAGACGTAGCTTGACTGTTCGGTTATGTCGTACACAGAGGCCAAGTCTGTTAGTTCTGAACTTATAATTTCATTTTGATATGAGGTGTTCACCGTACTCAAAATCGTAATTGCTTCTATAGCTTTCAAAAAATGTAGTTCTCTTTCTTTCAGAGTAAACAATTTTGACCCACTGCTCACATTTTAACTCCCCTCCCATTAAAACAAGAGTAGAGCTTCACTTTGGTAGCTGATAACTCACTTGGCTAATATAGTTATTGGACAGTGCTCATACAAAGCTGTCAATATAAATCACTGGCACAATCACCGAGAACAGAGAGTCAGACTTTTAAGCTAATTAAATTATATATACGCACCTAAGAAGCGGAGCAAAAGATATTGCTGTCAGTCGGCTATCGATGAACTGGTAACAAAAGTGTGGAACTGTAGCCAAAGTACTGGACAGAAGCCACGCCCCGGCACGCCCAGTTCTACATAATAAGCCACTTACCCGAGCAACTGCCGCAGCATAAAACTTTTGCACTACATTGAGGACTTTTCCTACTCATTTTTTTTTTGTCTTCGCCTTATGGCGAGCCAACAATAAGTTGACAATTTGCAAGTTATGAAAGTAAATAAGTGAAATAGTTTTAGCCGATGGCTAGCAATTTTCTTTGAGACATCCCTGCCTCGCCAAGGTCTGCCCCTTCTATTCTCCACCGCAACTCCTACCTAGTGCTGGCCACACTCAAACCCATACGAAAACTTCAGCAAATAAACAGGACTTGCAACAAATTGAAATGATGTATTAGGCCGCAGGGGATTAACGCCCAACTAATAAATCTCTTTGGACAACGACGAGTGGGCGGCGTAACTTATCGAAACAGTCTAATATTCTGCCAACGAATAGTCTCTCTCTCTCTCTCTCTGTCTGAGTGTGTACTGTATGCACTCATATATGTATTAATAAGACACAAAAATTCTCTTATCTGTCGACTCGGTCGACTTTTCCATATGCTCCCAGCTTATTTCACGCTTTTCATACAATTTTCTGTGCTCGCTTCTGCCTCCATCTTGGGTCAATAAACCCACCAATGTTTTACGCAGTGAAGCTGGGTGGCGACTGTGGACATTTAGTTGACATATAGATTTGTGGCGAAACGAGTAGATAATGCAAGTAATTTGAGTTCTGTGCAGGCCACATAAATTGTTGCCCGTCTGTCTGACGATGACATTTGGGGGGCTTTAATGAAATCGAAATTGGTGCATATCCGTGAACTGAGTTTTCAAAAGAATACCTTACTCCAAATGAAACTGTGGCATTGAAAAACTGAACATCATTTTGTAGATGTTATGTTATGTTAAAAGCAATAATTTGACTCTTTTTCGTGTATTTCATATTAAATATTGTATAATTTAGAGGCAAAACTATGATCTGAATTTGTTCAGATTTGACAAAATGATGATAGTATGTAAACGACTAACTAAGGTATCATCTAGTCAAACACGCTCTTGTTGAATTAAAAGACTTCTGAACAATTATTAAAAGTCAAAGTTGATGACTTCAACAAGGCCGCGAGGCAATGTTAAAAATAACATACACATATATTGCTTCTGACATTGCTTAGTATCCATAGAACTTCAAAGCAAATACTGAAATAGTCATCATTTTTGGTACTCTGAATTTTAACTTAATTGCATTACTTGTCGCTGACATCAGCCTCACACCGACAATGTACAATTGACGAAGTTGTTTTTGGCTTTGGGGCAGCAACCGCTGCTGGTATTGAGTGGCTGCTGAGCTGTTCTTGGAGTCGAAAATGTGGTAGACGAGTATTTGGAAGTCTGACAGCGCACTGGCCACGTTCATTTGCCAAGCGCATTGTGTGTAGTGTGATGTGAAGTGTTTGGCACTAGCCAACAAAAGCTGTCAACCCAAAACGGAATAATAAAAAAAAAACGAAAACGAAAACGAAAACGGGAGAAAAATAGAAATTGTTAAAGTGTCGTCGACGCGGCGTTACAATAACAATAAAGTCAACAATAATAGCAACAATATAGCAAGCAACAAAACACCACAACGATAGCAAAAGCTTTTCATATGAGTGGAGTTCAAGTTACTTTTTAGTATAGGGGAGAAGGTTCCTGTTCTCGAATTTGGCATTTTGTCAGTGTATTTTGGTTGGTTTGATGAGGCGTGACACAAAAATTGGAAATTTATCTTTGATCTTTTTGTGTGAGTTTCGTTCGATGGAAAATACAATTCGAGATGAGACATTGTTCCATGCTACCCTTGTCATCGACATGTTGCCTATGAGACTGAGGCGCTTAGATGTCAGCGACGACAACAAATAAAATAAATAACAATACAAAAAATTAAAATTCAAGTCGACTTTAGCATATACAAATTGACGTTGCACAGCTTTCTAGAGCTTAAACGACTTTTATTTTAATTAATTGCTAGAAAGAGTACCTTAAATCCCCCCACATTTTAACGCAATGTAACTAAATAATTGAAGATTTTTCTGCTTTCGCATAACGCCGTTTTTTTATTTACTGAGTCTGAGAATTGCATGAAAGAAAGTTAGGGTGTCGACTTGATGGCCAACTGGCCTGCTATAGAGCCATTTGTTTTGTTATCTCTTAGCTAATTAGCTTTATAATTATATGTTGTGCGATATAATTTGCTATGATATATGCCTGACACAGCTACAACCAACAGAACAAAACAGACTTTTCACTCAATGCAGCACAGCTTTAAGATACAAAAGATAAAGACAAAGCGAAAGAGCGAGCGAAAGAGAGAACATCTCCCCTCTCGCTCTGAAGACAATTGCATAGGACAGCTAGCAATTTGTTGTGCCTGTTTCTGTCGCTATTGATTGTCTGGCACTTGAAGTGCCATTATAGTGTTGTTGCCATTGCTGTTGTTTCGTCCGCCACTTGGGCGACAGCATTGTCCTCAAACCTGCGACTATTATAGGAAAAAGAAATCCTGCCCACTGAAGCGCACGAATTTAATGTAATTTTTTAAAAAGTCGGTTTTTTAGCTAGCCAAGTCTTCGATAAAGCATAATATTTACATGTACAACACATAAAGTTCCCGTACACATGTACATGTATATATTTTATCTGTTCGTGGCCAGACTCGAATTTATGACAGTTGCCGCATATTTGACATGTGCCTCGTTCTCTTTTGAATGTTGGGTGTCTTCTTCTGGTGTACATCCAACACCTAGACCAAGAATTATTTCCAGCTTTTACACAACACTAGTGTCGCCAGTGTGACGCTAGAAAATTAGCAAAACAAAAAAAAAAATAACACACACAAGAAAATAACTTTAAAGCTACTTACATTCAAGCATATCGGACCACAGTTTGCCAGTTGCTTTTCTTTTCTGTTTTTGTTTTTGTTGTCACTTTGTAGCTGATAAGAGTTTTGCTTTGCTAGTTTTTTAACTTACTTGGTTCTTTGGTGGCAAGCATATTGTTTTTCCCCGTTTCCTTGAGCTTTTTTATGACACGCTTTCACACAAACATCGACATAAAATCTCTGTCACTCTGTCTTTGTTTTATCGGACAGGGATCGCAGCGGTCGCCGCTTTTGGCCAAAAGGCAGTCTTAAGCTTAACATCATGTCTTGCCAGGATGAGTAAAAAAGTAAATAGCCTCTTCCAGCGTCAAACGCCTTAAAGGTTTTACTTAATTCTTTTTTTTTAAGTTTTCTTTAAAGTAGTTTAAAGTTAAAAATTGAATCAACTTAATAAGGAAATGAGAGCAAAGGATTGTATTATTATATAAACTTTTAAAAAACATTACACATTTGAGAATTAATGCTATAATAATATAATATTTTTCAATGTGTATTCCTCCCCATATCATATATATTTATTTAAAAACCACATATTCCTTGGCAATGCTTAAATCAATATCTAAATTCGTTAATAACTTAGCACTTACTATTAATTGTTCACACATTTAAGCAAACTTTTGAAGTCTCGCCCAAATGAACTTTTTATTCAATATCCAGAGAGAATCACTCAATTTTGCAACCTTTTGGACCTTTAAATGCGTTGAGTGTGTCACTTGGAAAGCAATTTAGTTATCAACATCTTCGTCCTGATTGCACAGGCCTTTCACAGGCCGCACACTTTCTGGCCTATTTGCAATAATTGAATCTCACATTGTTAGCAGCCGGCAGCTGCGCACAAAAGGTAACAAAATTGTGCCCCAAACTTTACACAAAAGACAGCAATGTGTTTCGAGGCTGGGAACTGGATGGCGTGTCCTTTGATGTAGCAAATTTCTCGGACACTGAGCGCCTAATTACTTTATTGGTGACCTTTTTTGTGTGTTGTTTCACCCCATTCCAAAAAAAATATATTTACTTGCAACTGTCGAGGCTCATCAGTTGAGGGCCGTTGAGAAGGGGGATGAGGAAGGGCAACCAACCTTTCAACTCGTTGGCTCGGCAAGGTTTCAATTATGAGTCGCCTGTCTAAGGGGCCTGAGCTTTGTATACTATTAGCAAGTTAATTGAATTATAAGCAATGGTGCCAACTTGAGGGTTTGTTGTTTTTGAATTAAAGCAGCGCACAAAAAAAAATAATAATTTAGTTTGGCATAAGAGAAAATTATAATTTGTGTTTGTGAAGAGTTGAGATTCGTTTTGGGTTATTAAAAGGCAAAATTTCGCAATCCTGCAAGTCAAATAAACATGATATTGCAAAAATTTTGGCGTATCTAATAAATATACAAAATACCTATATCGCATTAATCTGTTTGAATGAACTCAGAGTTTTGCTTAAATTACATAAATATGACCCAGGAAAAACAAAACAGGCACTGACAAAATCAACACACACACACACACACACATATATATATATATATATATATATACCTTAATCCATATAAGCTACATGGTCTGAATGAAGTACAGCAGAAAGGGACTAGGTGTGCCAAGGTTTATCAATTTTTCTTTA